GATAGCAGTTATTCTAAAGGAGAAATGAGCATTATTTACTCCTTGAGTTATCCACAATGGCCTGCACTTTGTTCCCTTTAATTTAGTATTTCCATCTACCTTAAAGATATATAAAAACAAAAGTTGGCAATCTTGAGTGTTTGCTTTGAAACAATATAAAGGCAACAAGAACAAAAAAAAAAAAAAAAAAAAAAAAAAAAAACCTCTTCTCAAAAGTAGCAAAAAATTACCAAAAAAGAAAAAATTATGTAAAACCTACAAAAGTAGCCCTGCCCATAGGCTTACATTTCCCATGGCCTGTGAGACTGCCACTGTTCACCCGTGGTGCCTGTGCCACTTAAACACCAGAGTCTCTTTATATTCTCTTCCTATGGATTTCATAACTCCTAGTTTTATTTACCAAACTACATACCGTGTTTCCCCGAAAATAAGACATCCTCCGAAAATAAGACCTAGCATATGGAAAGATAAGACATCCCCTAAAAATAAGACCTAGCGCAACTTTAGGAGAAAAAATTAATATAAGACACTGTCTTATTTTCGGGGAAACAGGGTAGGTTAAATAATTGGCAACCGCAGCTTTGTAGTAGTATGAGATTTAGAATATTATCAAACGTCCTTGAGAAAAGCAAAGGCATTTCGGATTTTAGCCCTGTATACCACAGCCCTATCAAGGGTAAAGATATATGGGTTTTCAAAATTAAGGACACTGAGTTTCAGGCACCCACAGTCTCTTCTTGGATACCAGGAGCACTGAGGTCCCCCAGGCTCATAACCACTGGTGTCTGCAAAGTAGGCAGCCATGTTCAATGGACAGTAACAAAAAGTAAGTCCTTACCACAAAAGCTGCTGTAAAGTCACTGCCTAAAATGATGAAAGCAAAAGAGAGTCTGGAGCCAGGAGCCCTATGAGGCAGATGATGCTAAGGATCAGCCAAGACACAGATGGAAAGCATCATAACCCCAGGGACCCCAGAAATGGCCTAGAGCAGTGTTTCCCAAACTTCTCTCATGATGAGAATCGCCTGGTGGAGTTGTTAAAATACCTACAGATTCCTGAATCCCAACTAAGAAGTGCTAAACTAGAATTTTGGGGAACATATAGGTAAAATTGTATAGGAAACACTGGTCTAGAGAAACTAATTTCCATCTGCATCATGTAAAGGAGGGGCACCTGGACACAACAGCATTGTGCTCATATTTTTCAGGAAGATGCCTATTTCACAAATTAAACGTATCCTGGCTGTCATCGATTACACAATGCCTCCTCTCCCTTCACAGTTCTTTCAAAAGCTGAGTCAATGCTGCCGCCCAAATCACAGAAAGAGAAAAGTAAGCCATCCTTTTTTTTTCCTGGCTGCAAGTGCCTACATTTTCATTTCAATAACATCCCTTCAATGTTCTATACTCATCAACCTTACTCATACTATACTCATATGAACTGACCCAACTTCATCAGTATAAATTAAAAAATTAGAATTGAAAGATAAAAAAAAAAAAACTAGTTCAAAATACTTAGGCAACTGAGTTTATAATCTTGCAGGCTGGTATCCGATAGTAACTCAACACCTGCTGCTACTTAGCTGGCCACTAACACTGAGCCCTCTCGGGTGTCCACCGTCCTTTCGAACATGAAAACAGCTTCTAAGGCCATTGTTTCAGGAGACAGAGCCTGTTGTGCAACTAAGAAACTTCACCTATGTTCTTAACTGGGAGAATATAGTTTTTTAATAGCACTCTCCTGTTTCAATAGCACCTTCCAGATATACACCTTTCCTTAAAATCTCATATTAGCACTCAGCTACATCCGATGCTGCAGAAAGAAAGCCAGCACCCCCACCCTGACCCGCTGATGTGGCAGTCTGCATTACTGCACGGATCGTGTGCCTGTGACCGTGTTATGCATTTACCAGCATTATTTTGTTGAATTATTATAATCACCCCACGAAGTTGGCACTATTTTCACCTTCCCATTTTACTTTAAATAAGGAATCTGAGGTGCAGAGAGTATAGGCAGCAGACCAGGCTCTTCTTCCACCCATCAGCTATGCATTTTCTCAACATAAACATAGACATGCTGTCCACATGAATGGATGAATTCATAGGCTAAGGATCTTGTCCACAGTTAAAAGTTCACTGTAGAGGTAGGAAGCCTTTCCCACCCACCCACCCCAATAAACCTTCCCTATTTAGGTAAGTTAGTGAAAACAGAATATTCTTTCATTAGGATGCAAAGTCTTCGTGAATTTCTGGAGCTTTTAAATGATAGAAGAAAGGGGAAGGGAAATGAGGAAAGACATCTTCTGGGCTTCTTTGTTTCAAAAGTAGAAATGAGATACTCAGCAATGGCCTCATAAAGTAATGGGACAAGAGGACTGAGGAAGAAGGAAGAACCCCTGTCAGAGCATCCTCAGTCCTGTGAAGGAGAAGGTGTGTGTTTAAGATGCAGGAAGCCAGGGGCAGGGATCCCAGGATGGTTCAGCTGGGGTGGGAAGCCAAAGACTAGGACCCTGCCTTAAGCAGAGATGTCACAGAGAGTGACAACGAGTAAAGATGGCAAATGGAAGACATTCCCCCAAAAGTGGAATTGGATGTCCTGGGAAAACTGGTGCTGGGGATTCCAGCTGGAACAGGCTAGCGGATGTCCTCTCCCCTGCGTGCTGCGCTCCTATTAGTAGGTCTACTTCCGAAGGAACAGCTACCTCCCTCTTCTACTGAAATCCAGCCCTGCTGTGAGCTGATCAGGCCCTTTCCACTCCAGACCACTGACTTGAGGCCCTATTTACTAGAGCCCATGTGTGAGGTTCCCAGGGATACTGCCGATGGCTGAATACAGCTATGTCATTGTTTCTGTCCACAACATGGTTTTCCGTATTCCTGCTTCCTCTGGGGCTCCGGTGACCTGACAGACATGAAGGCTAAAAGAGCTCACTCAGCAAATATCACGTTGACTGATCAGAAGGAAGGTCCCGAAGAGAACAGTGGGACCGAAACTCAAGTCTCAGGGACGCTACTACAGGGGGCAGAGTACCAGTACCAATCGAGAAAAGTACAGTGTATAGGGACTGCTGTAAACTGGGATTTATTTAAATCACTATAAACAGCAGTTTCTTGTTATCTCACTATAAGTATTCATTACCAGATATTAGTGATAAAAACTAATTTCCCCAAATTTTACTTAGGAGTTACTCCAGTTTTATTTAAAAAAAAACAAAAAAACAAAAAACACAACATTATATAATTCCCTCTTCCTGCCCCAAAACAATGAAATATAACAGTAAATGGTTTGGAGTAAAGTTTAATAATATTCTCTTATTATCTCCTTCTGAGAAATGTACGCAAAAAGTTACGCAAAACACATTTCAGAGCAGGAACTCCTTCCAAACTAGGAATGATTTTTCTCCCCAAGGGGACATTTGTCAATAACTGGGAACATTTTTGGTTGGCACAATTGGGGGAGGGGTGCTACTGATTGACATCTGGTGGGGGTAGGCGAGGGAGGCTCCTGTACAACATAATGTGCAAGTCAGAACCCACAGAAAAAGAAAGAAATAATAAATGCTTCATAACATAAAACAGCCAACTAATCTTTTATAGATGCTATCCTTTTTAATAGATAGGAATGAAGAAAGCTGGATCTTAAAACTACAGAATTACTTATACCATAGAAAAAGGAGAAGCAATTCCAAGTAGACATTTAGTGTCAATTATGCCTGATGCTCAAGAAACTCTAGTTCAATAAACTCTAATGGCAAACTCGGTAGTTCAGCATAAGGGGCAGGAAAAATCAGATGTGACTCCAACTACAAACCACTCCTAACTAAAAATGGGACACTGGTTTATCTTCTGGCACTCCACCAATTGACAAGTTTGTGGTAAAAGTATCTTACTGATAAACATTAACTCCAATCTTTTTTAAAACAGTTTTTTTTAAATTCTCTGCAAAACAAGTCCCTTGATGTAAACTGTAACCCAGCTATGCCCAGGCCTCCATCTCAGTTATTCGCTCAAACTGTAAAGAATTCTCATCACTAAATGTTCTTTTTTATTGTCTGCGGGATGAAGGAAATTAACTGTTAAGATTTATGACTTAGACTCCCCCACAGTGATAAAATACCTCCAAAGATAGCAAAGAAAAGCCCCTAAGAATTTATTGCAAAAAATGATAACGTAACACAAAGAATCTTAACAAAAGAATGTTTTCCTTTACGTAAGCGGAGTTGTTTTACAATTGTCCGAAGTTGCTTTAGGGTCAAGTCCCACTGGCAGCGTTTATACTGCTCTGTCCCTCTTCCTTCCTTCTCCAAAGCCGACCACACGCAGTCCCAAAGTCCAGCTCTGTACCTCGTAGCAAAGTCCTCATCAGGCGAATTCACATCACCGGACTCTGAGGCCCAGCCCACCCACCCCGGACCTCAGAGTCCCCTCTGGAGGGAACCCCACGGCTCACGGGCGGGAGCATCCAACCTGCTCCTTTTAGGAATCCACTCGGGGACTACCAGAAGTGGACCACCCCGTTCCATATGAAGATCCCGTTTATGTAAACTCAGGAAAAACAGGGATCTTTCAACATCCTCCCGCATAGCTGCGCCCTCTGCCACGGAAGCCGATCCAGCCGCGACTTTGTTTCCCACTAAGTGCTGGGTGGTGCCGCGGTCCTACCCGCCCGCGCACGGGCTCCCAAGGCAACGCCTGCCCCGCCACGGCTCCCCCCGCCACTGCTTCGGCCTAGGCGCCTCCGGCCGCACCCAAGTGGGCGCTCCCAGGAGTGCATACACCCATCCGCACGCAAGCTCAGAGGGCGCAGAAGCGGGGGCTGACCCTGTATGCACAGAGACAGGTGTGTATACCCAGAAGCGTGCAGCCGCAGGTGCAGAACTGGGTCGGGCAGGCTCAGGAGCACACGCACACCCTCGTACCGCAACCCCGCCGCGCTGCGAACCGCGGGTCCCAGCAGGGAACCTCCAAACCCCCGGTCCGCCGCGCGTTCCATCAACTCACCTCCTCCAAAAATTTGGTCACATCGTACACCTTGTGGTGCAGGATCAGCCAGGTGCTCTTGCTGTGGTTGTGCTTCTGGATCTCCTCCAGGGTGTAGTACTTGACGGCCTTGTCCGACGGCTCGGCCATTTCGGAAGACGGCGAGCTTCAGGGCCTGCAGACGGGAGCCACGCCGGGCGGAGCGAAGCGCGTCTCTACAAGCCGGCAGTGCCGGGACATTCCCCCCGGTCCCGAGGGCGCCTGGGGCGGGCGAGCGGCACCTCCGAGAGGGCGGCTGGCTGACGGCCTCCGGTGATTGGTCAGAATCCGTGTCTCTCAAGGGGCACACCCTCGCTGACACCCACCCCCAGCCCCGGCGCACCCCGCCCACAGCGAGTGTTGATTGGCTGAAGGTGCCCTATTGCGCGCAGGGTTGGGCGATGCGGAGCTTTCCTTGCGCCTGCGCAGAAGTGGGGGGAGGGAAGCTCAGGGGTCTGGGAGTGACCCGGGTGACAGGAAGGTACATGTGCGTGGGATGGGCAGGCCTGGCGGGGTGGTCCATAGGGGCCAGCGCAGAGTCCATTCTGTGCGGGGCAGCACGTCAAAACCGCCGCTGTTTCCCAATCAAGTCAGATGGGCCAGACCGGCACGTTAATTTCTAACAGTCTCTCCACTGCGAGTCTCATTGGGTAATTTGTTAGCCTTACGTGAGAGATAAACGAGCCTAGTGGACGTTAAAACACACGGTGCGGTCATTAGCCTGGGTGAAACAAGGGTACTGCCCAAAACAAACTCACTCTAATTTCGCTTGACCAACCCCTTCGCTCACTCCACCTTCAAATTGCCCAGTTTTCACAGGAAAAACAAACCCAGGGGAACTATTCATAAAAAGCAAAGCAAAGACATCCTGGCCCCGCCCAGGTGGCTCAGTGGTTGAGCATAGACCTAAGAACAGAAGCTCAAGGTTCCAATTCCGGTCAGGCTGGATCCCCAGTAGGGGGTGTGCAGGTGGCAGCCGATCAATGTTTCTCCTTTACTCTCTGTGAAATCAATATATATATATTTCTGATTATTTTTGTGTTCTCTAAGAACTTATCCGTTGTTGACCACTGGCTAGGCGAGTTCTGGTATTGGCATCTTTGTCTTGTCTCAATAGTATATTACTAAGGTGAGTCTTAAATGATGGATAGCACTTGGAATAAAGAATACCTCCTAGCAGCCTTTTGGGAGGTACATATGAAGATTTACAAATGATTGAGAAAAATAACGAGGAAAAATTCCATCATATTAAAACGTCATCTGATATTGAGGCCCTTTACATAAATAGTAAATTCCAAAAGAACTTATATAACAGGGTGCACGTGTAGTTCATCCTCCCTGGGGCTGAGCACAGTTTTTCCATTTTTAGGTCCTGGATGAATGTCAGCTCTCACTTTTCCCTGCCGGAATGCATGGCCATCAAGAAGAAAATATTTTTCCAAGTATCTCAAGCATTTTTTAGCCTTTTTATAAAATAGAATACATTGCTTTTCAAATACTGAACTGACCCTGCATCTCAGAAATAAACCCCACTTGTTTATGGTATATAATAATTTTATTTACTAACTAGAGGCCCAGGTGCACAAAATCTGTGCACTGGGGGTGGGGGTGGGGGTTTCTCAGCCTGGCCTGAGCCCTCTAGAAGTCCAGGAGTACTTGGGGGATGTCTAACTGACAGCTTGGTCTAAGCTGGTAGTCAGACATCCTTAGCACTGCCCCAGAGGTGGAGAGGCTCCCACCAGCACCGCTGTGCTCGCCAGCCATGAGCCCAGCTTCTGGGTGAGTGGTGCTCCCTTGTGGGAGTGCACTGATTACCAAGGGACAGCTCCCACACTGAGTTCCACCTTTTGGTTGATTTGCATATTAGCTTTTTATTATATTGGATGAGTAATATGTTGAGTTTTTGCTCATCATATATTTGTGAGATAGTGTGCAGATTTCTGTTTATGCATTACATTTGTCTTGTTTGGATATCAGAGTAATACTGCTTCATAAAATGAATTGAGAAGTATTCCCTTTCTATTTTTCTGGAAGAGATTATGCACAATTGTTATTCTTTAAAGGTCTGATAAAAGTATCCAGTGAGACCATATGGGCCAGCAGATTTCTTTTTTAGGAGGTCTTTAACTATGAGTTTAATGCCCATTAATAGTTATGGAGCTATTCAAATTTTCTGTTTCATTCTGAGTGAGTTGTGGTAGTTTGTGCTTTTTGAGGAACTGGTTCATTTAATCTAAATTGTAAAATCTATGTATATATAGTTATTCATGATAGTCCCTTACTATCCATTGATGTCTGCAAGGTCTGTGTGATAGCCTGATATTAATATTCCATTTTTTGTTGTCATCCTTGCTAGAGGTTTGTCAATTTTACTGATCTTTCCAAAGAGCCAGCTTTTCTGCTCTTTGATTTTTTTTCTATTGTTTTTCTTTTTTTTTTTCAGTGTCATTGATTACCATCCTTATTATATCTTCCTGCTTGCCTTGGGTTTATTTATTTGTGTGTTTTTTTCTAGTTTCTTGAGGTGGAAGTTTATTGATTTGAGTCTTTTTCCTAATGTTTGCATTTAATGTTAAAGTTTCCTATATGTTTCTAAAATAGTAAACAAAAATTATACTATTTCCCTAACAGTTGTCAGGACTACTAAATCTCCCCAAGACAGAGCAATACATCTCTTGAGTGGATGGCTACCTCTAAATCTAATGTCAAGGCTGTTTCTGATTTCAGTCCCACTTTCAAATAACTTTAGCAGTGATGAAAAACAAAACATTGGTGTCAGTGACCTGGATCTTATCAGGTGTGATTTATCAGATGCATAACCATGATTCAGATGGCTAATTGTTCTAAACCATTGCTTATAACATGCATAGCATACAGGCTGGCACAGAAAGCAATAAACAGAATTGACTAGTGTTATTATTATCATTCAACAAAGTTTCCTTATTCTAAAATGCAAGCATGAGGAAACATCCTACCTGGAAGGTGCTCCAAGGTGAAGTAAACCTAGGCAAATTTAGAAACAAACACACCCGGTAAAGGAACACAAGTACTTAAAAACTCCTTACTTCCCCTCCAGCAAATGAATTTTTATAAACATTTAGAAAACCAGTTCTACTCCTAAAATTCTTCAGGTAAAAATATACTGTAGAAAGCACTCAGCCTTCTCTTTCATTGTAAAACAAAAATAAGCAAATATTATTAGATTTTAAAATTTATTTTCCAATTCCTTCTGCAACTTGTGCACAAGACTTACATAAGCAGCTCTTTCCTGCCCACTTAGGTAAATAGTTACATTTGCTATTGTATAATTACAATGGCTGCTTCTCTCAACAAATGGGTACTTCTAGAAAGATGGATTCTAATTCAAATGTCTACATGGATAATTTGCATTATATCCATGTATTTTAAAACTCATGATACCATAGGTTATTCTTCCTCCTCCAAATATCTATAAGGTATCCCAAAAATGTATGCACACACTTTAAATTATAAAGGCAATATTTATTAATATACATTTTATTTTTTAAATTGATCCATCAACTGTTAAAGTGTGTGTACATTTTTGGTGACACTCTATATATCTCTAGTATATATAGCTTTGTTGATTTCTAAACAATTCCCCTTCTATTAGTAATAATTCCCAAAATGTTCTCAATTATTAAAATTTTATTCATTTTAAAATTGATCATGTATGACTTGAAGTTGCTTTTACTCATATATTTATAACACACCAGACTGTCAGTTGAGAATATCTGATCAGTCAGAGGCAGAAATGAGGAGCAGAGAGCAATGGATATTATCTGATCACAAAGCTAATACAAATGTCTTAAATTCATTGCCGGCGTAAGGCAATTTCCCTCAGTTAACATCGGATAGTAAGTTAATTATATGCAGGATATCTTTTTGTAAATGCTTCCCTGGGCACATTTTCCTTCTATATCCATTTTTAAGTAGGCGCAGGTAATTAGGGGAAAGGAAATGTTTGATTGTAGGACACTGTCGCCATACTATATTTTTAAAAATATCTTGTCTCCAGCACAAGAGAACAAGAGTAAAATGGTGTAGATAAGAAAAATTCCAGATATCCTATTTAACTTTATAAAGGATTCAGGTTCCAGTCAGTTCTATAAAATTATGTTGATGGTGTCACCCAAATCGGAAACTTGGGAACAATCCATCACCAAATCCTATAGGTTTTTCCTTCTAAACACTTCTCTAACCAGTGCTTTCCTATTTATCCCCACCTCCACTGCCCCAGACCTGCTTTTCATGCTTACCTGCCTACCTGATTACAATAACTTCCAACAGGTTCTTCGTGGGGCAGAGGTGTAATGGCCACCTGAACAAGAAGGTATCTTGAGACCAAAAACTGAAGCAGGCAATGCCATAAAATATAACAAAATTTATTATAGGTAATGTATTATATTTATAGTCATGTAGGGTCCAAACAGCCAGACAACCCAGTAGGCCTGCTACACACTCCTGTTACTTGTCTTCTCACACCACCACCCCCACCCCCTCCCCGCGCGCCCCCAGTCCTCCTCTTAATGGCAATCCCATTCTTTCAAGTCCTTAGTACAAATACCTTGGAGTCATGCCTGACTCCTCTCTCTCGGACCCCACATCAATCCATACCCAAAGCCTATTAGATGTAACTTCAAAGTATCTTTTTATCCCGTGCCATCTCACCGCCTCCATGCCAATATCCTGATCAAACCACATCATCTCCCTCCTGGATAAATGTTACTACCTCCTAAGTGCTCTCCTTCCTGTCCTGTACCCTTCAGTCTGTGCTCAGCACAGCAGCCTGGGTGCACCTTTTACAATGTAATGAGTCTTACCAGGCCTGATACTGTTTGTCGGTTTTAACTTTTCTGGCCTCATCAAGTCACTACTTCTCTTTCCAGCTCTACTGCAGCCGACTCCCTTGGGCCTTTGTCCTTGCTATACCTCTCGCAATATTCTCCCCTGATACCTGCATGGTCTTCCCCTCCCCCCTCTTTCACGTCTTATATGCCACCTTGTTCATGAGGCCTTTTGACTTCTGTAACGGCCTCTGCCAACACTCCCCAGCTCCCTCTCCCATCAGCACCTACCATGTTGATATTTTG